CACGCTGTTCCAGTACCAGGCCGCGAATCTACCCAGCCGCCACCCTCCCGGTTCCACTTGGCACTATGGGTTCTCCTTCATGCTGGCCTGGATCTCATTCATTGGAGAAGTAAGGAGTATTTTTGGTTTGTTCTTTACGGGATGTTTTTTTTTATTTATTTTTTTTTTTATTTTTTATTTTTTTTAATTATTATTATTTTTTTTTTTTTTTTTTGAGGGTGTGGGATGGTGCTTCATTTTTATGGGGTGTTTTTCTTCTTTTTTTCTTCTTCTTTTTTGAGGGTGTGAGATGGGGGTGGGTGAGTCATGTGTACACATGTGTATGTGTGAGTATGGATACACACATGCATTTGCATATACATATACATAGAGGTACACTAATTCATATGCAAATACGTGGATACGCATAAAAAGTATGATATCCATAAAATTTGATGACAGCATGGGCTAATAAAAGCAAAAGATAATACATAAAATGAAGTAGTAGTTGGTATTATGGAACTTTCGTGATACCAAAAGGAAGGTGTTACCATGGAGGGCAACTAGGGGGTGGGGGGGCATGCACCCTATTTTTGTTACCTGGCAGGGCTACTCTTTAGAAATTCATAAATCACTGTGTTCTCCCCACCTCTAAAATATTACAAAATCTCTTCCCTTTGATCATCTATTAGAGTCTAATCTTCAGTAGTTATGTCACTGCACACCCTTACTTCTATGAGGTGTCCCTCCCTTTTCACTACTTGTTATGGGATAGCCTTTGGAAATTCTTGTCACTGTACCCCTATCCTCGGCATTTTTTACTAGTGCTCCATCCTGTTCCTCAACCTGTTATATAATAGACTTTAAAAGGAAAGTATTTTATGGAGTCCCCTAACACATTACCAAAATAATACAAGGAACTTCCTTATTCACAGGCTGCCGCTGCCATTGCTTTCGGAGTGTGTTCGCGGAAGAGAAAGAAGGAGAAGGCACCAGATGACCAGTACGCCATCGAGGAGGAACCGACCATCATTGGCCGATAGACAGTGCCATTCGAAGGAAGTGTGTTCTGATAGATTTTCTTTCTTATTGGAGAGATTACTCGCCGACTGCAGTAAAATTATTGTAGAAATGTGAAATGTGATTCGCATGGAGGTTTGCTGACTTTCATAAAGGAGATTAAGGGTTACTTAAGGTACTCGATTTATGGTTCTACCTAGTCTATTAGTTTTGCTACTTTTATAAAGTTTAGCTCCAAGTAATTCATCTGATGAATCTTGTGTAGCTGGGAAAGCATTTTTTCATACAAACACTAGATCTAAATTAGCTACCATATGATAAATTATATTTTCAAAATTCCCACGCTACTTGTGCAAAATGCACAAATTCTACCTAGAAATATTGCAACAATATTTACATACACAGGAAAACTGAGAATATTCACCTGTAGTTAGCATCTTATATAGATTTAATTTTCTATTTGAGATCACATGGCCTTTCTAAATACTAAATATATGAAGGTATTCCTAGCTAAGATAGAAATGACAAAACAATGCGTGAATAAAATCTTGTTATCACTGATATTTTTTTACTCTCAAATATTTTTTCCATATATCTTGCAAACCAGCTATGGTTATGCCAATTGAAATATTCTTGAAGGTCTTTGAATTATATATATATATATAAGAAATACTTATTTCATACCAGTAAAGTATTAAAGAAATTAGTATCTGATATTATAAATACAGTCTTGGAAAAATGTAAGGCACATAAACCTGTTTGAATTCTCGTTCAAGAACATTTTGAACCTTTTAATTGTTAATATTGCTTTCAGCTGTATGTCTGTACTTGACTTACAACAGGTTAATGAAGTTCTATTTATGTTCATTTTTGACGAGATCACAGAATGTTAGAGAAGTGTAACATATTATTATCGTCCTATATCTTTAATTCATAGTTATATGTAATTTTCATATGTAAATAAGTTAACAAAGACAATTTGTTGTAGCACGTTTTCTTTTTTTCTTTTTTTTAATGGTTTAAAGTAGTTAGTGATTTAAGATTCTTAATCTTTACTTTACACAACACAGAGAATCTGTAGATGTGTACATTCTACATCTAATGTAGATTCAAGAATTTTCTTTGTTTCCAACATACCAAAGGATATCTTAGAGAGACAAATATAAAACACATGTTAAAAAATACTGAACATGTCATGTGGCTAGTCATGGAGCCCTTTTGTATGTTGGTAACATTCCTTCTTTTTCAGCTCAGTTCTTTCACCAATATCCCCTGTATCCCATGCATATATGTGCGTTCCAAGTTCCATTTTTGTGACTGCCAGCATTTACTAGTAAATATAGAGTCTATTCAAGTACTTATCTTTTTTATAAGTTATCCTCAACAGAAATCGTAAATTATAATTATGCGGAATTTTCCGGATTTCTATTCACTGGTATAATGCTGGTCACTGCAGATTCTCTATATAATTTAAGAGATATTAAATTATTTGAAGTTATGATAAGAGATTGAAAAAAATATAAATTCATACTAATCATTATCACAGTGTAATAATTGGTCAAGGCCATCTGTACTGTCATAGTATAGTGTGAAACTTCATGAACGTCCTGATGTGCGAACTTGACCATTTCTTACACATGAAATTGCGCTGTGTCACTTCAGTGGGAAAATATAATTCCCTAACCAAATACTTTGTCTTGAAACTTTCAATGTGTGTTCTCCATACTGCCATTCCCCTTCCATGGATACTGTTTATTACAATAAAAGACATTTACCTATCTGAAGAATCTTTTAATATGCATGTATGTTTGGTAGGCATTCTGAAAGCCATAGGCACACATTAAAACACACAGGGAAAATGAAAACAGACATTAAAGTAACTCACACTGGTATTCTCAACAAGCAAAATGCGTGTCATTTGGTGTATTGATTTATAGAATAGTCAACATATCCTGAAAGAAGCCAAGGAAAGATGTCCATGAATATACCAAATATGGCAATCATTATTATCATTATGTTTATATGCTAAAGTCTGCATTCTAGTGCTCACATAATGGGTCATAAAATAAGAAAAAAAATTAACAGATGAAAATTTATAATAAAAAGAAACTTTGTCCTTGTAGTTTTTTTATTAATTGCATTTACACATAAATGGCTTTGCAAGTGCTTAGTCCCACCTATCTCAACTGTTTACCCTTTTCCTTGATTTTCAAAAAGATTATTTTTTATCAGTATCAAAATAATTCTAATAATCATGTAAATAATATCATTAACAGTATTGATATCAATAGCATTAGAAAAACAAAAATATTTTTACCCAAAATACAATGTACCTTCATTGTACAACAAAAATCAATGGAAGATTGTATATGCACCTACAACCAAAGGTTTAGATTTTCAATGTTACAGGTAATACTAGTACTCAATAGTAATTATGTACCAAAAGTTCCCTGGCTGTATCTGGTAAAAGTTTACAGCCTTCATATTTAACCTTTTATATACAAAGGCCCATTTACAGTCAGCATAGATAGTAACAGTGGAGTTGGGAAGAAGGAAAATAGCATCAAAAGTAGTGTAATATCTATGGGAAACCTACCCTTCAGCCTTTTCCTAATCTCTGTAAAGGGTTAACATAAAGCTAAATCATTTCTGGATTTAAAAAAAAATAAGAAATACTTTTCTCCATTTTATTATCATTACATCTGAAGCAAATATACATCAACACAGTTCATAAGACTCATAATAATAACATCATTACTGGGTTTAACAATGACATGCATAGTTCCTGTCATCAATACACTATTTTTTCTATTTTCAAAGTAACTGCATTGAGACTGAACATGCAAAAAAGTATGAAAAACAGACAGCTGTTTTGATACTTGGTATGGTTTATAAATACTGGAAATTGCTGTTTTATATATGTATATATGTATATGTATATGTATATGTATATGTGTATATGTATATGTGTATATGTATGTGTATATATATATATATATATATATATAGTATATATATATATATATATATATATATATATATATATATATATATATATATATATATATATATATATATATATATATATATATATATATATAGTATATATATGTATAGATATATATATGTATATGTATATATGTATATATGTATATATATAATATATATATATATATATATATATATATATATATATATATATATATATATATATATATATATATATATATATATATATATATATATATATATATATATATATATATATATATATATATATATATATATATATATATATATATATAGTATATATATATGTATACATATGTATATATATTGAGGATGTGTGTCTCAGGCTCATTGCACATACTGTAGAGTTAGAGAGCACAATTAATATGTACCATTACCAATTATCAGAGAAAAAAAGACTCTTGTAACTTAAAGGGAGTGATTCAAAAATAAAATATTCTAAATTGCACATTGCCTTATTGTTAATGCTACTAACATTTAACGTAACTGTTTTTCAAGGTTTCATGTACACAGTCCAATACCACTGACACAATAATTAATTTCTCTTTATCTGAACATACTTTCACTTTCTTGTTTTGTTGCAAACTGAAGGAGGAAAAACGTCTCTCTTTATTTAAACTGATATAATTCTTCTTTAAGAATTATAATGGTTAAAGGGTAATTCATTAGAAAAGAAAGCTGAATACCATTTATCTATCCAAACAAAAGATCTTTATTTGTTCAAGAGTGAATGAGAAATGGAAAAAAAGCAAACAGTAATGTCACCTACAACTCTATTCTCATTACCTCTAGGCTAAGATAATCGATTTATCACAACATTATCACCGCTTCATTCACTCCTCACTCTTTAAAATCAATGAATCAACATTTCATGAGAAAAAACTTGCCTCAAGCGCAAAATAAAAGGAACACACTACACTTCTTAACACTATGTACTTTACAAATTTGTAATGCTAGAAAAGTATCGTTTTTACGGCCAAAGTAATGAGTCTCTGAAAAATGTGTCAAAAGAGACGGAAAAAAAAAAAGAAAAAGAAAAATTTTCCTGAAAGCTAATCAAAAGATACCTTTCTGAAATCTGACACTGAGAACAAATGCCACCGAGTCCCAAATTCACTGCATATAAATACGTACCTGCAACCGTGATATGCACTGAACGTCACAGAAGGTTAAGCAGTGGAATTGTGGACTGTGGGTAACAGTTGCAATAACACTTAACTAACTAAATAGACATTCAGAATTCAGGATATATATATATATATATAGTGTGCCTTAAAAATTACATGAGACATCATATTTAGTTTGACTTAATTGTTATTGTCAATTAAGAGTTTCAGGGAATGTATGAATATTGTATATAATCTTAAAGAAACACTGACCTGTTGCGTACCAAAACACATTAATGCTAACTTCTTGTCATATAAGTGTTATGCTTTTTAAAAATTCTGTGAAAAGCGTTACATTACAATGCAAGTATGTTACGTTTTCTAAAAGAGGTGAAGTGCATATATTACAGAATCATAACTGGTTATATGATCAACCTAAAGTGTGAGACCAAAAGTTTACATAAATAAAATCACAAGACCAACTAGATTATGCAAATAACACCTGGAGATCTTGCCAATGCCTATAATGTTCTGCTCTCTCTGAAAAGAACTCTCTGATAAAACAAATTTGTAAAAGTGGAATTTGTGAATCCAATGCAAATAAAATCAGGCTAAAGAAAATTACATACATTTCTTAGCTCCTTAATTTTGGGGTTAATACTAAAGCTCTCTGAATAAAAACTTCCACCTACATTCACACGACTCACACCTCCAATGAACTAAATAAAACCATATTAGGATTTCACCGAGAGAACCAGCTTCACTAGTGTTAATCCAATACATCACCACAATTGTAATATACATGTGAAACAATAAAGTAACAAAAATATCTTATCACAATTCATCTTTGCCCTTCTTGTCCTCAAACCTGTTGTGGGGCCGCTGCAGAGGAGTCAGCAGCGAAGAACGCCAGACTAGGCCGACATCAGGCGATCACCAAAGGCTCATCATCGGAAAATCCACGGATCATGGGAGAATCATCATCTTCGTCTGAAATGAGAAGTTTGAATTTAAGGGAGAACTGGGAATACACAAATGCAATTACATGAAAAATGGTTAATATTATCCTCTTACCAAATTACAACCCTACTGATGTGAGGTTGGATGACATACATGCCATGTCTATCAATATTTTAGTTCGTTCATTTTGTTTAGATATAGATGGCTTCATAAGTGCTTAGTCACCAAAGAATCAATCAATAATCCTACCTAAATCACCTGTTTACTCTTTCCATGTGGATTCTTTTTATTTTCTACTGCTAATAGTTTTGTTATCAAATACCCATAACAATAATAATAATATCATCTGTATCGTTATCAATATCACAAGTAAAATCATTTTCCCAAAAAATTCAAGGAATGGAGAAAACAGGTGAAGAAGTCATGTAGGGTATACTAACTGACTCCTTGGTGGCTAAGCACTTGTGGAGTTATCTGCGTGCAAATAAATTACAAAAAGTAACTCCAGTGAACAGTACGTGCAACCAGCAGTAATAATTTTAATTTTTTCCATAAAAGTGAAGTATGCCTCACAGCTGCATCTCCTATACTTGCATATGAATTAATATTATACTGCAAATATAGGAAAAAGAATCTAGGTTTTTCATACTAATTGCAAAATTTAAGGATAGAAATTTGTATCACTAATGACTTACCCAAGTTATGGTCTGTGGTGATGAGCGTTGTCCCTTGCGAGCGATCGTAGTGGGTGTTTGCAAAGGTTAAGAAAGACCTTGCTAAGCGTCGATGTCTGACTCCAAGTACCCCTACAACCACAATCAGTGCTATGACAACCAAGAACACTGATATTCCAACACCAACCACACTTCCTTGTGACAGCACAATTTTGTCACCTGGTGAATAAGGAAGGAGTATTAATAATCTGAGCCAATTTCAGCCTTAAACTAGTATTATCAGTCTTCCATAACAGTAAGGTTCATGGAGTACATCATTTGATTTGACACTTCAACATAACCCTTTTACCTATGGGCTTCTCAAGCCTTATGGAGTGTGACTGTGGTGACAGATACCCATCGACATCTTTGAAAGCCACTGTAGCAAAGTAGATTACTCCAGGTGAGAGGCTGTCCACCTTTACAGGAGGGGTACTGCATGGATGGGCAGTAGCATCACTCATGTTCATGTTCTTTGAGATGTAAAGGACATAGGAAGAACTGCAAACCAGAGGAAAAATAAGTATATTCCATTAGCATGTATTTTAGCTGTTAAATGCATTCTTTAAGGATCAATCTATTCAAACTACTAACTACTACTTTTACTGTTAATGAAATTACTAAATATCCAAAGATAAATAATTCACAACTTCAATGCAATGTGCATTACTATAAGTATCATTAGTATATCAACTGCATAGCAATTCCTTACAAGATGACATCTTTCCACTATCAGGTATCCTTACAATGTGACAGCTGTCTACTATCAGACCTTACAAACTGACAGCTATCTACTATTTGACCCCCTCCCAATCAAATAGTATTTGAACATAAAGCCTTACGTTTGGTTTGCCATTTCTTGCGGGAAATTTCTACTCCTTTTCCAGAAGAACGAGTTATCACTTGGGTTGTAGGTGAGCTCATATGGTGGTGGGATCATTGGACCGTTGATAACGACAGGAGGAGTTGGACGGGCATCTGGCTGCGAGTTCTGAACAGTGATTAGATACTTGCCGCCCCAGTGTGATTCAATGGTGTGAGTCTGGTTCATGGTCTTCTTACTGGGGAGCTCATAGTATGAAGTCTTGTTAAAGAGGACATCCCTGACTGTGAGCTGAAAGAAAGAGAGGGTATAAACCAATATCAACTCGTGGAAAAAAAATTTGAGACAGCCTTTTAGGGAAATTGCACAAGGACATTGAAGATTTTTATATATTTATGTCAAGGTAAAATGGTAAATTAAAAGTATGGGTAAAGGAATTAAAGTAAATCTCAAGCTAAAAGTCTGAGAAACCTTGAGAGGAAATGCAAACAGGCAATTTATTTCTCTTTTCATAAGATGTCTAAAGGGTAAATAAGGTTTATTTAGGACTAAATTTTTAAGGTAAACTTTGACAACAAAGGCACAAAAGATCCTTCATTATCCCTCTCCTGCATCAATGAAAATTAAACATATGATCCTTTTACTACATGGTATAAACCTAAACCTAAAATTCAAAGTTTCTGAATGAAATTTTGAAAATCTGTAATTCTAATTTAACGTTAACTCCTTGAACGACCCCAAAATGAACCCAGACACTTACCAGATACTGCAACTTCTGTTCTAGAAGCTGCCGACAGGCTGGCTCCCACGTGATGACCATGGTCTTGTTGTCATGACTCGTTCTCTGGGCTTTCAAGTTCTTAGGCGGTGAAAGCGGGTCAGCGAGCGTCTGCACCTGTGACGATAGAGGCTTGTCAGTTGAGAGAATGTTTCTAAATGAAAGTGTTATTAGAAAGGGAAAAACAAGTACCTTTTGTAATCATGTACGTAATCTTCTTCCTAGAATTTGAATTCAAGTCTAATAAGCTGACCAAAATATTCTTGAAAGGTGAATGACCATAGAAGGAAAATGTAATTACTAATCTATATAGACACCCATAAACACACACACTTTCCAATCAGATATCAAATAACAAAAGAATAACAAACATAAAAACAAATAACAAAATAACAAACAAAAACAATGCATAATCAAAACACAAGAAAGAAAAAAATCCTACCTGTTTCACTGTCGCTGGGCCAATCCCCATGGGACCTCCCAACATGACAGCGATGTGATACGTCTCACAGGCATCCAATTTGTCGATCATGAAAGACGTGGTGTTGGTCAGGCGGACATTCTTTCCGTTCTTGAGCTCGCTGGGGCTCTTTCCCCAAACGACACGGTAGTCCCAGGCAATCTAGGGTGAAATTAAGATTGAGAGGCTGAATATTGAAGAAATACATACAAAAATTATAATGGAAAGAAAGAAATATCAAGATTGATGACAAACACGTTACCATGAATAATATATAAAAGTCAGTAGAATGGCTGGAAATGAAGGAGATGAGGAAGAGACAGAAAGAAGATAAAGAAAGGAGAAGAACAAGGAGAAGGAGGAGGGGAAGAGGGAGGAAGAGGAAGAAGGAGGAGGAGGAGGAGAGAGGAGAGAGGAGGAAGAGGAGAGAGGAGGAGGAGGAGTGCAGCAGGAAGAAGAGGAGAGGAGGAGGAGGAGGAGAGGAGGAGGAGGAGGAGGAGGAGGAGGAGGAGGAGTGGCAGGAAGAAGAAGAAGAAGGAGGAGGAGGAGGAGGAGGAATAGAGAGAGGAGGGAGGAGGAGGAGGAGGAGGAGGAGGGAGGAGAGGAGGAGGAGGAGGAGGAGGAGGAGGAGGAGGAGGAGGAGGAGGAGGAGGAGAGGAGGAGGAGAAAGTGAAGGATGAGGTGGAGGAGGTGAAGGAGGTGAAGGATGAGGAGGAGCAGGTGGAGGAGGATGAGATAAAGGATGAGGATGAGGAGAAAGAAGAGGAAGAGGAGGAAATAATGAGAAGGAAGAGAGGGATAAACAGCAGTCAGAAAAGAAGAAAAGTAAGAACACAAATAAATATAGAATAAAGAAATATATGAATTTCTTAGAGGAGAGAAACAAAGACAGAGTCAAATATCTTTAATCGCTTACATGATGACTGAAAAAAAGGAAAGAAAATTACCTTGCGAGTTTTATAAGGCGGATCAGACCAAGTCAGCTTAACTGCGGTGCCAATGTCTTTAACAACTTGTACTTGCAGTGATGTGACTTCTTTTAATGCATCACCTGGCGTTCTGACTTCGATGCCGCTCACAGGCCACAAGACTTTATCCTTGAACGGGGTTACCTTAAAGAAGTACGTCTGTCCTGGTGCAAGACCTCTCACTACCAGGGAGATTTTAAAAAAACCATTAGAAGCTTTAAGATTTACGACGATGTTATTTGAGTTCCACTAGCAAAATCCCCTTTAGAGTACGGTTCTGATGGAGTAAGGAAAAAAAAATTTGTTCCTAAAATTAAACACCTGCATCATGCTTTGTTTGTCTTTAAAGAAAGAGGTGAAAAATCCCTTTAAATTTAAGAACTACATCCTGTTTATGTCTAATGCATTCCCATTCATTAGTTCAGATTGGGGTCAATTTGGACTTATTTTTTCACAACTCTGTTCTAGCTCATACATTTATTAACCAAAAAGAAAAATACTGTCACATACAATGCTAGATTGTGACATACTCCAAACAACCAACAGACCAATACCCACCATGTACTTGATTTGTGGTGGTGTTCTCAATCACATTGCCGGAGAGTAATTTATTCTCTGGCTGGTTATGAGTGACCATGTAACCTTCAGCGCCTACTACAGCATCCCAGGAGATGATGGCACTTGTCGAGTTGACACTGTTGACGACAATTGCCACTTGGGTTTCTGTGGTCTGCACTTCAACCTTTTTCCTTTCGCTTGCTGCACTTGTGTAGGCTTCATTTGTCACTGTTACCTGGAACCAATATGGATGTACAGATAAAACTGCTTGTACATATATTTTTATCTATCCATCTATCTGTCTATCTATCTATCATTTAATCTATCTATTATTCTATAACAAGATGTTCACTACTCAACACAAAATTGCAAGCATAAAACTGTCATTCCTTTCTTTCTTAATAACATAAGTATAATTTTGATACCCTTGACACTTACCCACACATAAGATCCATTCTTAAGATAGGCTGAAGGGACTGTAAAATTCGTTACGTTGCCCAAAATCTGGTGTTCACGCGCTGGGTTTGGCGGGAACATATACCTTGAGAAGAATACAGGACATTACTTCAGAAACTGAATAATATGAAGAGATGATTAAAACAGCATGAAAAATTGGAGCACCTTGAAATACTTTAATTGTTTTTATGGATTGAGTAACTGGTGACTGTCCACTGTAATTTGTTTTGTGAATTTTGTAAGAATAAAAAAATAAATGAATAAATAAAAATAATAAAAAATATATAAATAAGGCCACACTACTCTTACTTGCTGCTTCTAAGATTTTTTCAGAAAAAAAAAGGAGCAACTTAGCAAAAAATAAAAGAATAAAAATAAAAATTGCAAAAAGTCTTAGGTGAAGATATAGGGGTTACAGAACATAAAGAATAAAAGGATTATTCAAGTTTTCAGCTTTTCATGGCATTCATCCCATTCTTTGATCTATTACACAATTCTGAATAAAGAACATTGTTTTTGACTGAATTTAAGTGTGTTGCATTTGCTATTATTACTGTAATTTTTGTTTTATATGAAGGCAATCCAAAGTTTAATAAACCAGTAACATTGAAAAAACAACAACCCATTCCCAAAACATAAAACCCAATATAACAAAAGTTTGCTGTGTTGGGTTCCTTTCCACTGGTGTTTTGGTCTTCTGTGACATACAAATTTTCAGCTTTGCATAGAAAACATTGATCTGCTCTACTGTCTACATGCTCTATGAACTATTCTACAAGTAAACTCTAAACTAAACTAATTTTACAATTTAAAACTGTAAGTTTAGTTTAATTTTAGAGTTTAGGGTGGTGCACACCAACACACAACAAAACCCTCTACGGCACCATATTGTTTTGAACGATAAGACTCTTCCTGATTGGTTGTCCTCTAGCATGTGACTACAAAGAAGCTCTCTGATTGGTATCTGGCAGCATGTGCCTCTGATAATGACAATATTTCTAGGCTTGCAAAAGCAAAACCTGTAGTAGTTTTGGTCCAGCTGTTGTCCCCCCCCGAAATTGCAGAAAATTGAAGCAGCAAATCCGAGGAGCAACAGAAAAAATTGGTGTGGCCTAAAAAAAAAAATAATAATAATAAATTGCACAACACTCTGCAATAACGTGAAGGATTTTCATTGCCAAATTTGTAAAATTAAAAAAGTTATAACATATTCATTAAGTGTGCATGGCCTTCATATTGACAATACGCTATATATTTTGGTAATGCAATTCTATGAACAAATGCTCTACATAAAAAATATGGCACTTTTTGGCTTCTTATATAAGAGCCCAGAATGCCTCAACTGATATTTCTTTCTTGGCCGTGTAGAGTGCACTTCAAGATTATGTGCAATTCAAAAACATTTGTATCATCTAATAAAATACTTGTATTTAGCCTCACTTCTGACTGATCTCTGGGAGAAGCTCCATCAACTTTCACCATTAGTAGAAAGAAGCCACTAAATAATGGTTTCTCAATAGAACGCCTCTACCAATTAAAATGTTTCACCTATAGGCTGTTTTTTTCTACTCCATGCATCAACACGCTTTTTGTCAAGCAACTTTCCCCTGAGTAAATTACAAAATCAAAGTGATAAACAGAGCACCAACTTACACATGATACATGGTGATAGGTCCGTTTGGATGAATTGGGGGCATCCAGCTGATCACAACACCGTATCCAATCTGTTCTGCTTCCACGTTGAAGGGAGGGCTGGGAACTGTGGGATATTATATTCATGAACTACCAAATAACAAATTTCCTATATTATCAATATAGAAAAAAGGGATCACTTTTTAAAATAATCATCTGAATAATGGAGTTCTCTCTATTATAGTAAGTAAAATAATCATATTGTACATAAAAAGTTAAATTAATCCCAACCGCTACTGTTTCTGGAAGTTACAAAATATGCAAGATGCTAAATCAGTAAAACCTCCCTAATAAATGATAACACTCTTGTTCCAACTCCTTCAGAAAAAAGAAAAAAAAATCATAATTTACAATGGACCCTCAAAGCCAGTATTCCAGTCTTGGCTGATAAACAACTTGGCCTGATCTATTGTAAAGGGCATTGACAGGCACAGAAACGAGAAACTAGCCTACCACACTAAGTGCTGAAGATAGTAAAAGTTAAAACAATAAATGATATCTCTAACACATGTCTACACTGACAGCCTTTTTGTTACTGCATATACACAGTAATAAATGCATATCTGTCTATCTGTTTGATAGCTATACGTTTATCTGTCTATCTATCTATCCGTCCAGCAGATACGTATGTCTACACTGACAGATATGTATTAATATCTGTGTATATGCCAGTCAATATATTCAAATATACTTTGGGTCAGGCCTCGTACAATTTTCACAAACAGGCTGAAAGACAATCTTTCATAATACAATGCCTGAGGCAAGAAACAGCGACTTACAATCCTCCACCAAAACAAAATGAACTCACTTCCTTGTTCAGTATGGATGATCTTGGTCTTGCTTGGAGGGAAGATCTTGGTAGTGTTCTTCTCGCGGATGTATACTTTCACTATGTATTCTGTGTATGGCTCTAGACCAGAGAATGTGTAGGTCTGGAAAGAGAATTCGTGGGTATGAAGTACTATTACTTTATAGTTTTATATAACAGAAAAAAATTAAGACACCCTCTACCAATTATGTATTATTCAAGTTGCTAGGATAGCACCAAAAATATTCCATTCATAAATTCTCATTCATAAATGCTATATTTAATAGCAAACAGAAATTTCCATAAACTTTCAAAAGTATATGAAACAGTATGACATCAATTACAAAGTTATGCATCAAATTTTGAGGAAATAGCCTCACATCTGTAACCTCTGCACAGTCAAATTCCATAAGCAGATATACATCATGCAAGGATTAACTGATACCTCAATAAGACCAAGGTACCACAGCCCAAACTTGGCCTTGGTCCCTGAACCTTTTGCCACCCAGTCTTTTTTTTGCTCATGTTCAAATTGCACTCCCCTCTCACTTGGCGTATCAAGACTGGATTTAGCACATTTTTACCTATATCACAACTGCACAACAATGTCTAATAAATTTCTAAGATGAACATAAACTACTAAGGCTCAGCCTCCATGACAAAAATGAAAACATCTGGACAAAGTAATCCCTAAGCCTGATCCGCCTAATTCCCCTGAGAGTGTCTAGAACAGACCAGGCCCAAGTGATTGGCGTATCTTTGAGATGGTATGGTTTCTCTTGGTCATTTTTCTGATGTTTTGTATGCTTATAATCTGCCTTATATTTGCAAACTTCTACTTTAGGAAGGAGTATTGAAAGCTCACAGCACTCTCTTTATCACTACCCATAAGTTTTTTGTTTTTTTTCAATCTCAGGTCCATAATCATACTAGTCTTGAATAAAGCCCAAAGCTGCACAAGACAGAGAACCAAATACCATGAGGCTCCAAAGAAGTTTCAAAATCTTCCGAATGTGGTGGGTAATCACGCTGGACAGACCTTTGGCATCAGACCACAACACACCACACCAGTTCTCATTCCTCGCCACAAACAGCAGCATTTCATATTACGGGCAATTGAAGAAGAAGATGAAGAATAAGAAAAAGAAGTAAAAAAAATTACTTACTGTATTATCAGTCCATGTCTTATTAAGCCAAGCATTGTGGTTTCCTAACGCTGCTTTAACAATGATTGAAGGCTGGTATTCGATGTTTCCGGGCGCATTTACACTCCAGTTCACACTCACAGATACATTAGTTAATTCTGTTACTGTGAGATCTGTCACCTGGTATGCCTTTAGAGGAAAAGAAATAAAGAATATTAGTATTTTCTCTATATTTTTATAGTATTTGCCAAGATGAGATTTTCTTTTTATTTTCAGTGTTATTTGATAAGATATTTTCCCTTTCTTTTCTATTTTATGTCTATATTTTTTTTCCTTTTCATATTCAGAGGCTAAATTACAATATGATTATATGTGATGTATGAAATATGTATCAGGTAGCCTTTCTAATTAGTCCTTAGAAGATTATTTATTAATGTATCTGAAAGTGTAAATTCTTCATTCAAAATGTTGTAAATTCTAATGGTACCTAAATTTATACATGTT